GATTTATTTAAAACAACTTTTGAAATGCCTCGTTAAATAAATAATACACAAGTAATATGAAAATAGTTATTCAAACATCTTAAACATGATTTCATAAATATTGTCTAATTAAGTCAAATTAATGGCTTAAAAGTTATATTTCCGGCATATAGCTTATAATTTGCAAAGCTGTTGGGTTTAACTACGCACAAAATAAAATTAAGAATGGGATGTACCTCTGAGAGCAGGGGCGATTGGCACGAGAGGGCGACTATCGATCTGATGGAACGTTTTGAAGTTTGTCGTCCGTAGGCCACTGTCGAAGAACAACGTCCCTTTTACGAATAGATAGAATCATTTCAGTGATTTCTGTACAAAGTAATCCTCAACGAAACTTAGAAACATTGCATAAGACTATACACACCCTAAAATTGTGTTTATTGTAATTCAACTGGACAACCAGTTTGACGCTGCTAGTTTCTTGCAGCAGTAAGTTCTATGCGTGATTATATTGCGTTTAAAAGTAATTTATCAAAATGAATGCTAATTAGGTAACTTGTCACTTGTGAAGATTATTGAATACTTTTGAGCAATAGTACTAGAATGAAATGTCAACATGCTTCAGCAATCTCCATTAATTTCGTAACTTACTATGATCACATTAAAGAATAAACCTGTTGTTATTTTCAACAGTTTGCGGGATTCTGATCAAAATGTTTCTCAAAAACACTTTTAAAACAATTTTTCGATTATTTTTTTTTTAGCTCGTAACGTTAGAATCTGTCAATTTAAAAATAGCATGTATGCTATCAGGAAACATTTTGGCACAATTTTTCTCAAGAGACGAGTATTTCATTGCTCTTGAATATTAATTTGTGCAAATAAGGCGACTATTCCAACCAATCGTGTCATGCAACCCCCCTGTCTCAAACCATATATGATTAAGGGTAATCAAGATGCTACTTTAAACATGCAACGATATCTCTTAGCAACGATGCTTGTCTTATAATATTACACTATCAGCGTGGGAAGTTTGAATTTTCATTGTTCAATTTAAAAAGCATTCTTGAATGTGTTACACCGACAATGTATGGTTTTCATAAAACGTGATAATGCGTATGTTATTTTGCCTTTACAACACAAATGTGGTCACACATAGTAATATCTATTCATTACATTTACATTACAAATGATAACAACATTATATAATACGTTTGTTTAAAATGACATCCGAAAGCGCTCTCACCGTCAGCGTCGACTTCATTTATGATATCTTGAAGTTCCGTTTCAGTGGGATTTTGACCAAGTGATCTCATAACAGTTCCCAATTCCTTCGTCGTAATACAGCCATCGCCATTTTTATCGAAAAGAGTGAACGCGTCTTTGAAATCTGTATGTAAGATATAAGACAATTAAAGTATAAATTCAGGATTATGGCCACTCATAGCGCTAAAAATGTTGTTGATTTTATATGTTCCATTCGTCATAGAACCTCAAAATACTCCCCGTGTGTAGCCAATATATACAAGAAAGCAAAAAACAAAATGTTAATGCTCCGATTGCTTACGAATCTTCATCTAAAACTTTAAATGGAAATAATTATGCTGTATCCTCAGTTGTCTAGACAGTTCTGATATCATTCCATCATCAAATTATATCTAAATCAAATTAGTAGATTTCTGGGTCACCGTATATGTGAGTGTGTTTGACACGTTCGAGGAACACTTGACGTATATCCTCAAGAAATGACCCTGACAAGAGGTCACATTTATATTACGTTGCCTGTTTAGAGGGAAATACCGTTTTAGTTCAAGGTATAGCATTTTGGATCAATTTTTGGGTGAAGTACCCAGACTCCAGGTTTTGAGTTCGACATTAGCCAATTGTTTCCGCCGAAACACGCGACGGGGAGAACGTATTCTATGGAATGAAATTAACATACGTAATATAATTCCACCTGTTAACTTATTTATTAATATATAGCCGAGAGCGATGAATGACGTGTGACAATTTTAATATATTAGCAATATGATGACTTCATTGATATTACAGAGAGAATGCTGCAAATGTAGAGCATGGCATTGAAAGAACGTTTTCAAATTATTTATTAGCACTGTTATAAAATATATATTTAACAACGTACATGTGGGGATCGTTTATGGTAACCGAGTATGTTGATTTAAACGATCAATTGAACGCAGCTGTATTCACTACACTGTGCATTGGTACAAGATATAATAAAGACAATATTCGTCTGTTTAGATAATCATGGTTTTGAAAAACCCGTGAAACCCGTCGCTGAAAACGTATTGTAAATCATATACACTCAAACACATTGGCTGAAGCTTGAAATGAACACGATACTTGATATGTGCGGTAATATACTACCTGATGTTTTTGTAATGTAACTCGACTTGTGCATGATAATCTAGTCACCGTGGCTCCGTGTTTAATTATACGCCGTTTCGAATGGCGTAGTAGGTAGCGCTCGTCTATGCATTGTTGCAGCCGAGTTCAGGTACACTAGATCATTTGAAATAATATGGTTTAAATCATAGATAGATGTAGTTTGTAATTGTGGTATGAATCCTGCACCAACAATGTCGATCCGTATAGATAATACAGAAAGATTGAGATGATAATATTACATTAAATGTAGCTTATCAATGTAATTATGATATTAATTAGATCTATAGCGATATAAACAATGACAATTGCATCGATTCACCGTCATTTATTTAGTGTTGCTGTCCGTCACTCTTATTAATTAAATAATGTCGAGATAATAGCTGTGAAGCTGTTAAGTAAACAGTGGCTTGTTAAAAGATAAAACCCAATACATTCCCCCATCCATGGATATACATGAAACAAATTACGGGTAAAAGATAAAGACTAGTTATTATTAAATGTAAGAATATGCCAATAAGTGATATAGTGAGTCACAACACAACATACAAGTCACATATTACATATCCCTAACTTGAACTATTGTAAAGTTTTATAAGCACGGTCACTGAACATATAACATTAAGATAATATGTAATAATCAAGTTTAACAAGGATAGCTATATTAGTTGAAAGAAAAATTGGATTAGTTAACATATTCAGGTTAAAGGTGAAAATGTGTATTGTTACACATTACGCATGTGCGAATCCCCCCTCGTTTTAATGGTTTTATCCATCATTTTATGATGCATGGGGCTTTAATTTCTTCTTCTAAAATGGTAAATATTTAATGAGTAAATATGTCACAGGATTTATTTAACAGTAATAGTAGCAAACCTAGCAGTCAAATATTTGTTTTCTTTGTGACAAATTTGCTTTTAGGGATGAGTGATCCAGATGTCATATTCGATAAAAATAAAAGCCTTCATTCTAAGAATCAACATCTGACTTAAAATTTATACAACACTATTCGGTTCACATCAATGTCTAATTCGGTCGCTGCTGTTCATTACTACTATGCCGGATATCAGCGTGATATATAATGCAATATACCCACTGTGTTGTCCAACCATCATATCAAATTACTCAAGCCAGTTTATTAATCATAACTGCGTGACAGTAGCAAAAACCAGGTGCATCAGTATATTATGAGTATACTGATAAAACCGAACCTGAGTAGTGTGTGTATACTGTGTGTCAACTATGAAGTTGGAAAAAGCAAGCATTTCTTTAATTGGATCAAAAAAGGTGTATTTTTGATAATCGGGCTTATAGATAAATGAATTAGCTTACATGTACTAGTCCCAGACGATTTCCCGTCCATATTAGTGCAGTGTGAAGCCAGTTAAGATTTGTCTGTGGATAAGGTATGATCGCTGATTGAGACAATAGGCGATTTTTATGGGAGTTAATAGTAGATGATGATTTCTTTAGTGAGGATGCTGTTCTGCGCATTTCGGATCAGAATGATTGAGGTTTGGCCTTTTTTATGTATTCATCATATCATGTATTATTCATGATAGAATTGAACTGCTTATTGCATATAAGACTTGTTTTGTTACGTATTTTGAAATGGGTTAGAGAATCTAAATATACAAAACGAAGTACGAGAATTGTAATAACACAACTTCATGATTTACACTAATGAATGATTGTACTTTATTTTGTATAAAACACAAACACTACAGTCAATATATATTTCAGTCAATAATTGCCTTTTGTTGGTAATATGATATAATATTATACCTCATTGTCCTATCAGCCAATCAGATTCGCATAATTGCCGGTCTATAATTTTGTTTAATATTTAATGTCTAGCAATGTAATACCATGAACAAAGAAACAAAAGTCAGCGAGCTACACACAACCCCCCAGAACCAACTAACACCGTTATGTTCACATATATTCTACATTGAAAATATTTGCATTATAGCCTTCATAATAAAGAAAATAGCAAAATATTAAATTAATCAGGACATCATGGGTATTCTCTAGTTAACTGCGAAAAAACTCCAAAATTCCTAATTCACTTTAAAATCGACCCTTCAACATAAACTTCTACAATTTATAACACGCTTAATGCAAAGTACATACATATACCTTTATTCACAATTCTGTATATCAATGCAAAATGTTATTGTTTTGGTGTATTTAAGGAATAAGTTTTTTATCACTATGAAAATGTTGTTTATGTTTGAGCTATACACATTTTGCTGCCTTTGGAGTAACTCGCTGTTTGTTATGAGTTTTTCGCTGTTACATATCCATAAACATATTGCCTTGTCCGTACGTGTAGACATTTTTGTGTTCTTTGGTGGAAAGTCAGTTGATGAGCATTTTGAGGCGCTGTGTACTGATCAGAGGTTTAGTTGTGATTAATTTGTTTGTGTGGTATTATAATGCTGGACATTGCCTTCAACCTTTTGTTTTGTATCTATATAGATACATGTAACCGAGAGATACTTCGTGTACTACGGATGATACTCAAATTTTTAGTTCATTTCTTCCACGGAAAAAGTGTTTTTATTGAGTTTCATTTTGGTATTGGTGGCCCAGTGTGCTGTGTTTGCATCGTATGTAGACATCGCTGCTTCTGAAATATCCGACGGTCGGATGGTTATATTTTATTTTGTAAATGATATTGTCCCCTATCGCGGTCGATATACAGGTTTGTCGACTGAAGTGAAGCTCAACAATCCTATGTGAGGGTCGATAAATCTGTGTATATACCTTGGTCGGGGTCAATATTTTGTATATTAGATTATATTAGTACATGCGCACTGTAGATCAAGTCATTTGCCGTGGAATAACATTGGTATAGTCAATAACTTATATGTAAATGAGATATAGTCCCTTCTAAAGTGAATTTGTTTGGCATAAGTTGCATGCATGTCATTGTATGGTTTAGTATCCCAAAATTATTGTAGCCTGCTATCTTTGTGTAAGTTGATAATACGACTTCCAAAGTCACACTTATGTGCAAATAAGAGCCCCAAGAGCCAATGAATAGCTATGCAAATTAGTTACGTGTAGAAATGTTTGGTATTTTCCCGGCAATTCAAAACGAGGCTCCCTAACAGTCGAGGATCAGAAACAGGGTAGTTGGGTTGCGTTAAGATTGAGCTTTGTTTGATTTTGTTCAGGATTTGAGCAACGAATTGAAGTGTTGTTTCTATATAGATCAACACATTAAAACAAAATACATCGAAAACCTATATCGAAAGCATAAGAATATGTTTAAAAGAAGCTTCGGCAATTGCACGCATTGCCATAACTAGTCACATCTATTCTTTCATTTGAATGTCAAAATTACGTATAAAGAAGCCCTGTATCACAATAGATGTCAATAAGATATATTGAAATGTTTTTATTTTGAAAAAAAAGAATGTGTTGTTATTTTCGTCGCTAACACTACTACGTCACCATCATTGATAAGTTCAAGACTATTTACGTCACATTCGAACACGTCTCTTTGTTTAGATGGGAAGCAGAAGCGTTATAGCGCGTGGCGGCAATAACATTCCGCCACAGGACGCAGTCGTTCATACCGCACTAAACGTATTTAATTTCGTGATGTTATTGCACATTAAATTAATTATTACGTGCACGTAGTTCGAACAAGCGACAATTTGACTAATTTATTCAAAATCAGCGTGGGACGTTAATGAATTAAATTTATTTTTTCCAATTGAAAAAGGACAAAGTTTATGTTGAGTTTGGTGAGATTTGATAATTTATTCAAAATAATAATGTTGACCGTGATAAGTGATCTCATTACTACCAGTATTCATAATGATCATATTGTAAGTTTATGAGTTACGAAATTTACTTACTTCTATTTTGAGAAAAGCAGAAACAAATTATATTAGCAAGCTATTAGGGAATTGTGCAAACAGCATCAAAGGAACCTGGAGCTTTATAAGTAGGTATATTGATAAAAATATTATCAAGGGTAAACGAATAATACTTTTTGTTTCAATATTTATATCAATGATATTAATAAATCAACGCTTGCGAAAAATATATGCATGCGCAGATTACTTGAAATCAACAAGTTTATATTATACCGTGGGTATCTACTGGGAATCTCAACATGGCGGTACCTGAAAAGGCATTGGGTCTTACATCAGGC